ATCTTGCTGCTGAGCCCCAACACATTTGGTGGTTTGAATTCGTCAAATAGTGGGGGAAACTGTACACTTCAGGGAAGCTCTACTAATGCTTTCAGTATTTTAAAGTCTGAATAAAGATTTGATAAATAAAAATCTTATATTCTTCATGTTATGTTCTGCAAGACTCGAAATTGAACCTGGAAAAAAGTAGATAATGTATTGATTAAGAATTGGTTAAGTAAGATATGGGTTGTACTTACATACTTCACTTACTTAGGCGATCCCTCATTGTCTGAGTAGGATGGTCCCCCAGGGTCAGTGTGCAGTATGCGGTGGATCTGTAGGTGACTGTGGAGCCCTATTCTTGATCTGCATCGTCTCCCGCAGTGAGGGCATTGGTTTCCAGGTGGAAAGCAGTTCCGGTCGGGGTTGGCTTGACGTGCCTTCCTCTTGGCACATTTCTCTCTTTTGCCCGCCATTCGTGTCTCTTCAAATTCTGCAGCACTGCTGGTCACAGCTGACCTCCAGCTAGAGCACTCAAGGACCAGGGCTTCCCAGTTCTCAGTGTCTATGCCAGAGTTTTTAAGGTTGGCTTTGAGACCATCTTTAAATCTCTTTTCCTGTCCACCAACATTCCATTTTCCGTTCTTGAGTTCGGAGTAGAGCAACTGCTTTGGGAGACAGTGGTCAGGCATCCAGACAATGTGACCGGTCCAGCGGAGTTGATAGAGGAGGACCATTGCTTCAATGCTGCTGGTCTTTGCTTCTTCCAGCACGCTGACATTTGTCCACTTGTCTTTCCAAGAGAATTGCAGGATTTTCCGGAGGCAGCACTGATAGAATCGTTCCAGGAGTTGCATGCGACGTCTGTAGACAGTCCATGTTTTGCAGGCATATAGCAGGGTTGGGACGACAATAGCTTTATAAACAAGCACCTTGGTATCCCTACGGATGTCCTCAAACACTCTGTGCTTCATTCGGAAAATGCTGCACTCACAGAGCTCAGGTGATGTTGTATTTCGGTGTCAATGTTGACTTTGGTGGAGAGGGGGCTGCCAAGGTAGCGGAAACCACTTATTAGCTTCATGTATAAAAGTATCTAACTTATTACTGAATAATTAGATACATATATACTATGGAGCCCCTGGTGACGCAGTGTTGAGCTGCTGAGTTTGTGACTGAAAAGTCACAGGTTCAAATCCAGGGAGCAGCGTGAGCTTCTGCTGTCAGCCCCAGCTTCTGCCAACTTCGTAGTTCGAAAACATGCAAATGTGAGTAGATTAATAGATACCACTCGGGTGGGAAGGTAATGGCACTCCATGAAGTCATGCCGGCCACATGACCTTGGAGGTGTCTATGGACAATGCAGGCTCTTTGGCTTAGAAATGGAGATGAGCACCACATCTCAGAGTCGGACACAACTGGACTTAATGTCAGGGGGAAATCTTTAACCTATACATGACAGATAGGAGTGCACATCCACAGATTTATTTTCCCCCTTTCCCATGGATTATGCTATTCTTCTCCAGCACTTTATTTTGCATAATCTTTCACTTTCACATAAAGCCTCTTGGCCCTTTTTTGTTGTTGTTGTCAACTGCTGTCAGCCTCGACTTACAGCTTCTCCATGAATGAGAGAGATCTCCAAGTTTTGTTGAAGGCTTTCATGGCCAGAATCACTGGGTTGCTGTAATTTCTTGCGCTGTATGGCCATGTTCCAGAAACATTCTCTCCTGACATATCACATCCTCAGATAGATGCAGGCAAAATGGCAGGAGAAAATGCTTTTGGGACATGGCCATACAGCCTGAAAAAACCTACAGCAACCCATCTCGAAGTTTTCTTCCAAACAGCTGTCTTCGCCTCCTAGACAACCCTGACTTTATTATTTATTTATTTATTTATACACTTGTATACCGCTAATATCTCAGCCTAAGTCGGCGACTCATTGCGGTTTACAACAGTTAAAAACAATATCAATTTAAAAACATCAAACACATTTACAATACAAATTATTGGGCCACCAATAATAATCCCATGCATCTCGTAACTGAAATCCCAATCCAAAATTCGTCGTCCATGATTGCCAGTCCTTTAGTCATCAACATTCGGTTGCAACATATTAGCCAAATGCTTGTTTGAACAACCATGTTTTCAATCTCTTCCGAAACACCATCAGCGAGGAGGCTGATCGTACCTCTATAGGGAGGGTGTTCCAAAGCCGAGGGGCCACCACAGAAAAGGCCCTGTCTCTCGTTCCCGCCAGCCGCACTTGTGAAGCCGGCGGAATAGAGAGCAGGGACTCTCCAGAAGATCTTAGGGTCCTGGTGGGCTGATAGGCTGAGATACGTTCGGATAGATAAGTTGGGCCAGAACCGTTTAGGGCTTTAAAGGCCAACGCCAGCACTTTGAATTGAGCCCGGTAGCAGATCGGCAGCCAGTGGAGCTGGTGCAGTAGAGGAGTTGTATGCTCCCTGCGCCCCGCTCCTGTTAGTATCATGGCTGCCGCCCGTTGGACTAATTGGAGCTTCCGGACTGTCTTCAAAGGCAACCCCACGTAGAGAGCGTTGCAGTAGTCAAAGCGGGATGTAACCAGAGCGTGGACTACCGTGGCTAAGTCAGACTTCCCAAGGTACGGTCGCAGTTGGCGCACAAGTTTTAATTATTCAGTGAAATAACCACAGGCTGGGATGGCCATCTGTCAGGGCTGCTTTCCTTGCATGGGAAGGGGTTGGACTAGATGGCCCTTGTGCTCTCTTCCAACTCTTTAAGATTCAATAAAAATTTTCAAGCTTGAGGATATTACCTAATATCACTTTTTTAAGAGAGCAGCTACACTGAAGAATGAATGCTTGACATCACTTTAAGTACCTTGGCTCAATGCTATAGCATCATGGGAGTTGTAGTTTTAGAAGGCCTTTAGCTTTCTTTGTCAGAGTGCAGATACCCAACCAAACTACATAAGACTGAGCCAGGGCAATTCAAGGGGTGTCAAATCACATTAATTCTACAGCACAGATGCATCACTAGACTTCTGATTTCTAAGCCTTAATGCATTCGGTCATTGATAGGAATGGAGGCCACAGTCAAGAAATTATTTTATTTATCGTGTCAAGAGCAAACCAAACAGTTCTATTGCATTTTTAACAAATAAACAAAACACAAAGTTTGCAAGCTTGGTAGTTGATTAGATGTCCTTTGACCAGTATCTGGCCACTTGGAGTGCCTCTGGTGTTGCTGCAAGAAGGTCCTCCATTGTGCATGTAGCAGGGCTCAGGTTGCATTGCAGCAGATGGTCTGTAGTTTGCTCTTCTCCAAACTCGCATGTCATGGATTTCACTTTGTAGCCCCATTCCTTAAGGTTGGCTCTGCATCTCGTGGTGCCAGAGCGCAGTCTGTTCAGGGCCTTCCAAGTCGCCCAGTCTTCTGTGTGCCCAGGGGGGAGTCTCTCATTTGGTATCAGCCATTGATTGAGGTTCTGGGTTTGAGCCTGCCACTTTTGGACTCTCGCTTGCTGAAGTGTTCCAGCGAGTGTCTCTGTAGATCTTAGAAAACTACTTCTTGATTTAAGTCATTGATGTGCTGATACCCAAACAGGGGATGAGCTGGTGATGTCACTGCCTTGGTCCTTTCACTACTGGCTGCTACTTCCCGGCAGATGTCAGGTGGTACAATACCAGCTAAACAGGGTAATTTCTCCAGTGGTCTAATCAAGAAATGAAAAGACGGCTTGCAGAGTAGGCCAAAGACCTTGTAAAACTATATCTCCACTAATCAATATTAGTGCGTGTGGGTTTTTTTGGGCTATAGGGCCATGTTCTAGAGGCATTTCTCCTGACGTTTCGCCTGCATCTATGGCAAGCATCCTCAGAGGTAGTGAGGGCTGTTGGAATTAGGACAATGGGTTTATATATCTGTGGAATGGCTGGGGTGGGGCAAAGAGCTCTTCTCTGCTGGAGCTAGGTGTGAATGTTTCAACTGACCACCTTCATTAGCATTTGAAGGCCTGGCTGAGCCTGGGAAAACCTTTTGTTGAGAGGTGTTAAGATGTGCCTGGTTGTTTCCTCTCTGCTGTTTTGCTGTTGTAATTTTAGAGTTTTTTAATACTGGTAGCCAGATTTTGTTCATTTTCATGGTCTCTTCCTTTCTGTTGAAATTGTCCACATGCTTGTGGATTTCAATGGCTTCTCTGTGTAGTCTGACATGGTGGTTGTTGGTGTGGTCCAGCATTTCTGTGTTCTCAAGGGGGTCAGTTGAAACATTAACACCTAGTCCCAGCAGAGAAGAGCTCTTTGCCCCACCCCAGCCATTCCACAGATATATAAACCCATTGTCCTAATTTCCAACAGACCTCACTACCTCTGAGGATGCTTGCCATAGATGCAGGCGAAACGTCAGGAGAAATGCCTCTAGAACATGGCCCTATAGCCCGAAAAAACCCACAAGAACCTAGTGATTCCAGCCATGAAAGCCTTCGACAATACAATATTAGTGTAGTTTGATATCACTTAACTGCCCTGGCTCAATGCAATACAATTCTGGGATTTGTAGTTTGGTGGGGGCAGATGCACTGTTTTGGTAGAGGACTGGTAAAACTACAACTCCCAGGATTCCTTGGCATTGAGCCATGACAGTTTTAAGTGGTGCCAAATTTGCATTAACGCCTAGGGAAACCTTGAACTCTTTAAGGCAGGCCTAGGCAAACTTGGGCCCTCCAGGGGTTTTGGACTTCAACTCCCACAATTCCTAACAGCCTACCGGCTGTTAGGAATTGTGGGAGTTGAAGTCCAAAACCCCTGGAGGGCCCAAGTTTGCCTAGGCCTGCTTTAAGGCGGTGCAAATACGCCATGCCAACGCCTTGCCTCCATTCCTCATGGAGGGAGAGCGCGTCCCGCACGCGCCCTTAAAGCTCTCCCTCCCTCTGAAGGCCACGTGACCAGAAGTGCGCCTCTGCCGCTCAGGGTCTCCTTCGGGACAGACTCTTTGCTCCTCCCTTTCCTGGTCCGCCTCTTGGGCCGCGCCTGCGCAGTAGCCTCGGCTGAGACGCCGACAACTTCCGGGTGGGCGGGTTGGCAGGCAAAGCGAGAAAAGCTGAGGCGAGGTCGTGGTTCTTGTCAGGCAAGCGGGGCGAGCAAGCGAGGGGCGCGGATGGCGTGCGCGCTGGTGCCTTTCTGCACCTTCCAGGACCTGGAGTCGGCGAGGGACTTCCTCTGCTCGCACCTCCGCCCGGTTGGCAAGGAAGGAGGCGGTGAGTTGGGAGAGGGTGGGTGCTTATAAGAGGCCACCACTGGCATACTCAAAGCCACAGCCTTCAAGGCCTGCCAGCCAGAGGGAGCCTCCATATGGGAGTCTGGTGACTGCAGTAAGGAGCCCGGATGTCCCCTGTATTCCTGTACTTACAACTTATGGCAGTTTGTCATCTCTTTAACTGCCAGGGCCCAGTACTGGGGAATGGTTGGCTTTGAAGTTTGGTATTGATTTACCGTGTCAGAAGCGAATTGAGAATACAGTTATAATGTATTTTCATAGAATCGTAGAATCAAAGAGTTGGAAGAGACCTCATGGGCCATCCAGTCCAACCCCCTGCCAAGAAGCAGGAATATTGCATTCAAATCACCCCTACAGATGGCCATCCAGCCTCTGTTTAAAAGCTTCCAAAGAAGGAGCCTCCACCACACTCCGGGGCAGAGAGTTCCACTGCTGAACGGCTCTCACAGTCAGGAAGTTCTTCCTCATGTTCAGATGGAATCTCCTTTCTTGTAGTTTGAAGCCATTGTTCCGCGTCCTAGTCTCCAAGGAAGCAGAAAACAAGCTTGCTCCCTCCTCCCTGTGCCTTCCTCTCACATATTTATACATGGCTATCATATCTCCTCTCAGCCTTCTCTTCTTCAGGCTAAACATGCCCAGCTCCTTAAGCCGCTCCTCATAGGGCTTGTTCTCCAGACCCTTGATCATTTTACTCGCCCTCCTCTGGACACATTCCAGCTTGTCAATATCTCTCTTGAATTGTGGTGCCCAGAATTGGACACAATATTCCAGGTGTGGTCTAACCAAAGCGGAATAGAGGGGTAGCATTACTTCCCTAGATCTAGACACTATGCTCCTATTGATGCAGGCCAAAATCCCATTGGCTTTTTTTGCCGCCACATCACATTGTTGGCTCATGTTTAACTTGTCCACGAGGACTCCAAGATCTTTTTCACACGTACTGCTCTCGAGCCAGGCATCCCCCATTCTATATCTTTGCATTTCGTTTTTCCTGCCAAAATGGAGTCTCTTGCATTTGTCACTGTTAAACAAAAGATTGTTAAGGAATTGAGAATACAGTTATAATGTATTTTTTTAAAAAAACCGCAAAGAAAGTTAATAAAACCACAAACAAAGTTTTAAAAGTATTGTCGAAAGCTCTCATGGCTGGAAACACTGGGTTGTTGTAGGTTTTTTGGCCTATAATGTTCTAGAAGCATTCTCTACTGATGTTTTGCCTGCATCTATGGCAGGCATCCTCAGAGGTTGTGAGGAAAATTGGGTTTATATATCTGTTTATATATCAAAGCCATGGTATTCCCTGTAGTCACCTACGGATGTGAGAGCTGGATCTTAGGGAAGGCTGAGCGAAGGAAGATAGATGCTTTTGAGCTGTGGTGTTGGAGGAAAGTTCTGAGAGTGCCTTGGACTGCGAGAAGATCCAACCAGTCCATCCTACAGGAAATAAAGCCCGACTGCTCACTGGAGGGAAGGATACTAGAGACAAAGTTGAAGTACTTTGTGTTTTTTTGGGCTGTATGGCCATGGTCTAGAGGCATTCTCTCCTGACGTTTCGCCTGCATCTATGGCAAGCATACTCAGAGGTAATGAGGTCTGTTGGAAATAGGAAAAAGGGGGTTCATATATCTGTGGAATGACCAGGGTGAGACAAAAGGCTTTTGTAAGTGGGCTAGGTGTGAATCTTTTCAACTGACCACCTTGATTAGCATACAATGGGCTGACTGTGCCTGGAGCAAACTCTTCTTGAAAGGTGATTAAATGTCCCTGCCTGTTTTTCTCTCTGCTGTTTTAATTTTAGAATTTTTTAATACTGGTAGCCAGATTTTGTTCATTTTCATGGTTTCTTCCTTTCTGTTGAAATTGTCCACATGTTTGTGGATTTCAATGGCTTCTCTGTGTAGTCTGACATGGTGGTTGTGAGAGTGGTCCAGCATTTCTGCGTTCTCAAATAAAATGCTGTGTCCAGGTTGGTTCATCAGGTGCTCTGCTATGGCTGACTTCTCTGGTTGAAGTAGTCTGCAGTGCCTTTCATGTTCCTTGATTCGTGTTTGGGCAATGCTGCGTTTGGTGGTCCCTATGTAGACTTGTCCACAGCTGCAAGGTATACGGTAGACTCCTGCAGAGGTGAGAGGATCCCTCTTGTCCTTTGCTGAACGTAGCATTTGTTGGATTTTCTTGGTGGGTTTGTAGATTGTTTGTATGTTGTGTTTCCTCATCAGCTTCCCTATGCGAGCAGTGGTTCCCTTGATGTATGGCAGGAACACTTTTCCTCTGGGTGGATCTTCATCTTTACTCTCGTGGCTTGTTCTTGGTCTTGCAGGTCTTCTGATGTCTGAGGTGGAGTATCCATTGGCCTGTAGAGCCCAGTTGAGGTGGTTCAGTTCATCTTGGAGGAGGTGGGGTTCGCAGATTCTTTTTGCACGGTCTGCCAAGGCTTTAATGGTGCTTCTTTTTTGACTTGGGTGATGGTTGGAGTTTTTATGTAGATATCTATCTGTGTGTGTGGGTTTTCTGTAAACGGTGTGACCCAATTGTTGATCTGGTTTGCGGATGACTAGGACATCTAGAAAAGGCAGTCTTCCTTCTTTTTCTTTTTCCATAGTGAACTGGATGTTAGGGTGGATGCTGTTAAGATGTTCCAGGAACCTGTTGAGTTCTTCTTCTCCATGGCTCCAAATGGTGAAAGTGTCATCCACATATCTGAACCATATCGTGGGCTTTTTGGTTGCTGTTTCAACCAAAAAAAACTCCAACCATCACCCACACAGAGAAGCCTTTCATGCAGGACATAATACCAAGAACTCCTGTAGAAAGTTTCGTCTTCTACGGCTTGGCCGGGAGATACAGCCCCACAGCTTGGCCGGAAGATATACAGCCTTACAGCTCCTTCGCTGAGGGACTCCAGCCAGCCAATCACTGAAACCTGAACTCCTTTTCCCCCGGAGGTCTACAAAGCTCTGCTTGGTAAGGGTCACTTGCGGCAGCCAGAAGCAGTTGGTACCGGGTGTAGGGGCTCCACGCCATCAGAGGCAAAGACAGACTGCCCAGATTAGAAATTAAGGATTTCCCCATTAGTTACAGTTATGAAGATAGTGCCTGTTCCCTCTGGACAAGATTGAGAGAGAGCCAATAGACTGTTAAGAAAGCCTTAAAGTACCTGTTTGTTTTCATTAATAAAGAACTTTGTTGAACCTTTAAGCAATCTAAAGATTCTGTTTTAAGGAAATCCAAAGGCCTTTAATCTGAGGCTGCCCCGGCGTTCCGTTGGGCACACAGAATTTATGTCCTGTCTACAGTTTTATGCACAGGCCCAGCGTGTGACAGCACACTTAGATATGCAGATGATACCCCTTTGATGGCCAAAAGCGAGGAGGAGCTGAGGAGCCTTCTAATCAAGGTGAAAGAAGAAAGTGTAAAAGCTGGGTTGCAGCTAAACATAAAAAACCCCAAGATTATGGCAACAATGATTGATAATTGGCAAAGAGTGGGAGAAGACGTGGAGGCAGTGACAGACTTTGTATTTCTAGGTGCAAAGATTATTTCTAGGTGCAAAGATGCAGACTCCAGCCAGGAAATCAGAAGACACTTTCTTCTTGGGAGGAGAGCAATGACCAATCTCAATAAAATAGTGAAGAGTATAGAGACATCACATTGGCAACAAAGATCTGCATAGTAAAAGCAATGGTATTCCCCGTAGTCACATGTGGATGTGAGAGCTGGACGATAGGGATGGCTGAGCGAAGGAAGATTGATGCTTTTGAACTGTGGTGTTCTGAGAGTACCTTGGACCGCCAGAAGATCCAACCAGTCCATACTTCAAGAAATAAAGCCTGACTGCTCACTGGAGGGAAGGATAGTAGAGGCAAAGATGAAGTACTTTGGCCACATAATGAAAAGACAGGAAAGTTTAGAGAAGACAATGATGCTGGGGAAAATGGAAGGAAAAAGGAAGAGGGGACAACCAAGCGCAAGATGGATGGATGGCATCATTGAAGGAACTGGGGGTGGTGACGGCCGACAGGGAGCTCTGGCATGGGCTGGTTCATGAGGTCACGAAGAGTTGGAAGTGACTGAACGAATGAACAACGTATCTGTGGAAAGTCCAGGGTGGGAGAAAGAACCACAGATATATAATAAACCCAATTTTACTAGTTTCCAACAGACCTCACAACCTCCGAGGATTCCTGCCATAGATGCAGGCAAAATGTCAGGAGAGAATGCTTCTAGAACATGGCCATATAGCCTGAAAAACCTACAACAACCCAAAGTTTAAAAACTTGGCATTACTATATACAAAATGTCTGGTGTCGCTGTGAGAAGGTCGTCCATTGTGCATGTGGTAGGGCTCAGACTGCATTGTAGCAGTATTGTTTGCTCTTCTCCACACTCCACTTTGAAGCCCAATTTCTTAAAGTTGGCTCTGCATCTCATGGTGCCAGAGCGCAGTCTGTTCAGTGCCTTCCAAGTCACCCAGTCATCTGTGTGTCCAGGGGGGAGTCTGTCATTCAGTATCAGCCATGACTTGAGGTTCCGGGTTTTAGCTGTCACTTTTGGACTTTCGCTTGCTGAGGTGTTCCTGCAAATATCTCTTGTTGATCTTAGGAAGCTGTTTCTTAATTTAAGGTATTGGCATGCTGGCTGATATCCGAACAGAGGATGAACCGGAGATGTTACTGCCTTGGTCTTTTCATTACTGGCTGCTATTTCCTGGCAGATGTCAGGTGGTGCAATACCAGCTGAACAGTATAATTTCTCCAGCTTTATAGGGCGTAGACATCCTGTGATAATGTGGCATGTCTCATTAAGAGCCGGATCCACTGTGTTAACGTGGTGAGATGTATTTCGCACTGGGCATGCAGACTCAGCAGCAGAGTAGCAAAGTGCAAGGGCAGGTGCCTTCACTGCATCTGGTTGCGATCCCCAGGTTGTGCCAGTCAGCTTTTGTATCATATTATTTCTAGCACCCACTTTTTGCTTGAT